AAAACAAGTTAACGACTGCTACCTCTCAGGGAGCGGTATTCTTTCTAATAGTTTGTGTGCAATGAAATGATTGAGTTTCCTCTTTTCAATGTCTACCGTTTCAAAGAAAATCTCAGATATATATATATATATATATATATATATAACCCACGTATTGGTAAAATCAACAGAAAGCCTGGTCAGGTGATTAAAGAAAAACTTACAATGAAAGACAAAGAGAAACCTATGAAATGAGAATGAACCTTAAACGAAGAAAAAGAAAATGACATCTACATAAACAGTAAAAGAAAGTCCTCTATGGCTTATTAAGCAAGACAGAGCAGTTACAATCTCTCCCTATTTCTCTCTCTCTCTCTCTCTCTCTCTCTCTCTCTCTCTCTCACACACACATATATATATATATATATGTATGTGTGTGTGTATAAATAAATACATATATATATATATAAATATATATATATGTATAAATATATATATATATATATATATATATATATATATATATATATATATATATATGTATGTATGTATGTATGTATGTATATTTCAAGTATAGGTGCAGTTCAATTTATAATTACATGAATCATTCATACAAAAAACAAATATAGAAGTTAATGATTCTACAGACATCCTCAGGTATGTTGCGATCGCACGTTCCAAAACAAAAACACATTTCTCATAGCATTTTTTCGGATTACATCTTTATTTTCGTTGTCTTCTTATTACCGAGAAATAAAAACAAGAACAAAATCTATTTCCATACCTGAGGATGTCTGTAGGAACAGACGAAAGCTTGTAAAAAATTAAAAAGACCTTATGCAACTGGAATTTATAAACAGGGATCATATCATTCATATACAGGTTCGGGGTTAATGTACCTTATTGAAATTGTTTGCGAAGATGTATTCTCGCCATTTAAATCATTAACCTCTATATTTGTTTTTTTTATGAATGAATGATTATATATATATATATATATATATATATATATATATATATATATATATATATATATAAAAGCATAGAATTATTTTATTTGTGTAAGCATTTAAAATAATGTATTTTTCGCTGCCAAGTATGTGCTGAAATTCCCTATACTCGTGTTTTGCAACCCCCCCCCTCACTGACGCATGAAAAAAAAGATTTTTAACGTTCTAAAAACGATTAGAACGTTCTAAAAAGGATTAGAAATTTAGGACATTCTAAAAAAGGATTAAAATATAATTTCATAATCCAAAAATCCTTTGGATATTTCTTTTTTAGTAAGTTTTTGTTTATATTATGTTCCAGGCATTTTTCATCATGATTTGATCATGACATATATATATATATATATATATATATATATATATATATATATATATATATATATATATATATATATATATATATATATGATCATATATATATATATATATATATATATATATATGTCATGATCATATATATATATATATATATAAAAGATATATATAGATAATGGTGAATAAGTTTAAAAGAAGGAACAATAGCGAGGAAAATTGGATCAGGAGGTCACAGCAAGAAGAGGGTTCATCATTTCAACTTAGAGCTAAAGAGATCAATTAAAAAGATTCAACTCTGTCCATAAGACATTTGGCACGTGACAGAGGAATTTCAGCTATGACAGTCCAAAGAGCAGTGAAAAGAGACTTGAAAATGAAATTGTACGTCAAACCTGTGAGGCATCTTGTCACTCCAGAACAGAAAGTTGGAAGGTTAGAGAGGGCGAAGATCATCTTGAATAAGTTCAAAAATGATCCTGTAAATATATATATATATATATATATATATATATATATATATTTGAAATTTATTTTAGTCTTCCATGGGCTTCCGAGCCTTAGCGAAGATTAATTGATGATGAAGATGCCATTTCCATTCTTGACTGATTTCATCATGATTCTTCTGTTAAGCTTAGAGAGAAATTATACATTATTATTGCTCAAAGTAGAGTCCAATAATGTTATAAAATACTTCCAGTAAGATATCTTTAATCAATTCTAAGATACAACTCTTCAGACCTTAATCTAATTGAACAATTTTGATGTTACATGATTGGACAATTTTGTTGTTACACCCGGTATATATATATATATATATATATATATATATATATATATATATATATATATGAACAGTTCTAAACTTTTGTATGGTTGCTTTAATTTCGGGTTAAAATGAAGACAAAAATTGTCCATCATTTGGATATTTTTTATTAAGATGTTCTTTCAGCTCACATGAGCCATCTTCAGATTCAAGTTACATGATGCCACAGTATTAAATGATCCCAACACCAAGAAATTTCAATGGACCCTCACTAAACGACGAATAAACACATCCACACAAGAATTACAACAGCTCAACACTGAAATTGTACGTATTAAAGGAATCTTCAAATCTTCTAACACAACTAAAAAATTCATTGGATTTATTATATAATACAATACAAAAAGAAAATGAATCCCATAATCAAGTCATCCAAAAAAGCTAAACAAATTATATAAAGGAAAAATACTTTTACCAAATACCAAGGAAAACTTCATTAACCTATCAGATTACGAACTCACTCCAAATGAAATGAAATTCCTTAATTTTGGACCAAATTTTCATGTTGCACAGAAACCTAATTTAATGTTTAAACAAACGTAAATTGAAGCTTTATACCAAGAAATACTTCTATTGCAACAAGATAACCATATTTCTATACAGGTAGGTTTAAAAGAATTACTTAAAGCCAAATCTTTTATAAAAATTTGAATGGAATGATAAACACTCCTTTAATAAAAGCAGCTACACAACTAAAAAAGTAACAACAGTATTGTTATCCAATGAGCTGATAAAACTAATATTTTCATTATTTGAAACAAACATGAGTACCATTCAAATTTACAGACCATTTTGGACGATCATAATAATTTTTAAAAACTTAACGAATAAAACCACCTCACAACTTTAAAACCATCTCAATAAACTTATTACTGTTAACAATGCTGAAATAGGATCTTATAAATTTCAAAAGATTATAGGTGACTATCAACCTGGCTACCTTTTATGGAAATGTAAAAATCCATAAAAAAGATCATTCCCTCTGACCTATCATTTCATAAATACCTATACCTTTCTAAAACCCTTAACAAATTAATTACTCCCTTCCTCCCAAGTAAATGTTGTATTACCTCCACAAATGAATTTATACAAATTCTTCATGCTGTAAAACCAAACAATCAAATAATCGCATCTTTCGATGTACAAAATTTATTTACTAATGTCCCCGTCCATGAAATGATTGACATCATTATCCATGATGCATACAATCACACATCTTCCCCACTCATCAATATCAAACCCACTATTTAAAAAAATTATTATTATTAACACGTACCACACTTTTCATGACCCCCGAGGTAATATTTATACTCAAATAGATGGTATCACGATGGGATCTCCTTTAGGCCTCCTTTTTTCTATTATATGGCACATTTAGAAAATAAAATACTTAATGACACTAATAAACCCCGCTATATATATAAGATACATAGATGACATTTTCGTTTTATCTAAAAATATTGATCAAATTAAACTACTTAAAAACGAATTTGAACGTCACTCGGTCCTCAAATTTACACTAGAACTTATTATTAATAATAAAATCCCATTCCTAGATGTATTTATTGACCCCCACATAAATTTACTACCTCTCTATATAGGAACCCCACTAGCATTAACTCGTGTCTTCGTAATTATAATAGTGAATGCGCCCAACGATATTAGTTAGCCATTATAAAAAAACTCAATCCAACACAAACAAATGATATCTTCTTCAAAAACCATATTCTATAAAGAATTACATAACATTAAACAAACACTTGTTAATAATGGATTCCTTAATTCTGTCAATGATCAAGAAATTAATATGTATCTCAATAAACTTAATAATACCTCTAACAAAATTGATAGTATTAATAATAATACTATACGTCAAAATAAACACAATACTACTAACTTATACTATTGTAACCAAATGCATAATAATTACAAACACAAATATATATATATATATATATATATATATATATATATATATATATATATATATATATATATCTTTAAGATCTAAACATAACAGTGGCTCATATAGCTAATCAGAGCTAAAAAATACATATTAATACGTTTGGGTACAACTTAAGTTTCGTTGTTTTACCAACTCATCAGGCAGGAAATATCGTGTGCATGATGAGTTAGTAAAACAACGAAACTTGTTGTACCCCAAACGTATATATATATATATATATATATATATATATATATATATATATATATATATATATATATATATACAGACATGACAGAATTGAATAGACACCAAGATAAATTTTATTTCCGATTTTTTAATAACCAAGATAAATTAACTTAGATTATTTGATTAAAATTGCAGATAACAATACTGGAACATGCCACGAACCAGAGGAGCATCAGACCTATCCGAATTTCAGCGAGGACGTATTGTGGGCCAACATGAAGGTGGTCTTAGTCAAAGGAAAATATCTGAAAATCTTTCAATACTCTTTTCTACTGTTAATAGAGTGATCGTACAATTCATCAGCGAGGGCAAGAAGTGCACAAAACCTCATCCAGGCCGCCCTGGGCCCTCTGAAAGATCCATGCGTCTTGTCGAAGGAAATGTTGAACAGGATCCACGTTGCAAGGCCTCTGACATAGCAACACAAGTTGATGTCAGTCCCAGAACAGCTGTCAGGTATCATCACAAGCTGGGCTACTATGGCAGAGCTGCAAGAAAGAAACAACTTCTCCAGCCAATATCAAATGCAGAAAGGATTGGGCTCATAAGATGGTGGAGAGACCTATGACCTTTTGGACCACTGTTATTTTCTCTGATGAGTCAAGATTCGTATTATTTTCCGACAGTGGAAGAGTATGGGTATGGAGACTCTGTAGCCAAGAGTTTGATTTAAAAAGACTACAGCCAACGGTGAAACATGGGGGCCTTTCAGTAATGGTATGGGATGCAATTTGGAATGATGGTCGCTCAGAGCTTGTGGAGGGTGAAGGAAACATTCAACCAAATATGTTTCTATATTAAAGAAAGGGCTCCTTCCAATATTCTCAAGTAGTAGAATGAGCAAAGTTGACTCACTATTTATGCAAGATGTAGCTCTACGTCACACTGCTCAAGCAACGCAACATTGGTTGAGATAAAATGGGATCAATAAAGTTCCATGGTCAAGTCAGTCCCTGAATATTAACCCTATTGAACACCTTTGGGGCATATGAGATTGAAAACTCTGCAAAAAGAACAGGAAGCCATCTTCTAAGCCCGAACTTTTAGGATTATTGCGTCAAACATGGCAAGAAATCCCTCAAGCTGATATTCATGAACCCATCACTAGCATGCCTAGAAAGGGTCCTTGCATTAAAAAAAAAAAGCAAAAGGGCATTAGTTATTAAATTTATGACCAAAAAATTTGTATAAATTACTTGTTTAATAAAATAAACAGTTTCTGGAGCGTCTATTCAATTCTGTATATATATATATATATATATATATATATATATATATATATATATATATATATATATATATATATATATATATATATATATATATATATATAGAGGGAGAGGGGGAGGGGCACGGTGGAGTAATGGATAACGGCTTGGATTGAAGAGCCGAGTTCGAATTCCAGTCGAATCCATTACATTCACTTACGTGCTAATACCCTCGGGAAAGATGTGAATCCTCTTCTCCCGACTGCTATGGGTTCTATAGCCTTGGATGGCAACTGGTCTAGGAGAAGGACAACTCTGAATTCAAAACCTGTGGAGGGTCGTTTGGGGACCTTGTGGCACTTAGTGCACCAAGTCTCTGTATTCGGCCATTCAAAAAGTGTGGATGGTCCTGCACGAAACGTTCACCACTATAATCAAATCTCATGTGCTGTTGTCGGGCTATCGGTTTCCTGGGAACTGATTGACCCTCATACGTTGAATTCGACGGGACAGTCGATATAATATATATATATATATATATATATATATATATATATATATTGTTGTGTGTATTCAGGCAAATATTATTAAAGACAATATGATTTTAGAAGCATATAACTAGTTCGGTATGAGCTGGAAAAGAAATTGTTCAGTTCAGCTCAAGAAAAAACCATGACGTTGGCAAGAAGTTGCAAATTTAGATTTTAGAAGTAGATGGTTATAACTGGTCGATCTGATTCAAAGTAAGGAGGTTTCTGTCAATGAACTCAAAAAGGTACGTCTTTGCTATTTGAGCAATGACCCTCATTTATCGTCGTGTCTGCAGTGTCGAATGGGTGTCAGTTCAATGAGGCAGCACTTGGCCGATTCATATCGAATGGCAAAGAGAAATGTTTAAAAAAATAACACAACTGAAGATGAAAGAAATCAACAAATGGGTTTAAAATGATTGTTCTGTTTTCGGAAATTCTGCTGAGTGACATGGAAGCTTTTATTTCATAAAGCCCCGCCGGAAAACATGTTACTGACTATTTTAGTCTAATGGGCTCAAAAACAAAAAACTAGATAGATAGATAGATAGATAGATAGATAGATAGATAGATGTATTGTAGATATTTATAAGGTCAGCGTTAGGGAAAACTTAGAATAGTCAGTGACTTTTTTGGTAACTGTTTCTGAGTAGCCAACCATTCAGCATGTGGTAACTATCATATCACTCGCTCGCTCTTTTATCTATCTATCTATCTATCTATCTATCTATCTATCTATCTATCTCATTCTGTTCATATCTATCTATCTATCTCATTCTGTTCATATCTCTCAGACTGTTCATATCTATCTATCTATCTCTCTATCTATCTCCCCCTTCCTCCAGCTGTCCCTTTCTCTGTCTCTCTCCCTCTATCTCTCCCTCCCTTCTTCTTTTTATCTATCTATCTATCGCATTCTGATCATTATCTATCTATCTATCTATCTATCTATCTATCTATCTATCTCATTCTGATCATTATCTATCTCATTCTGTTCATATCTATCTGCTTATCTATCTCAGACTGTTCATATCTATCTATCTATCTCCCCCTTCCTACAGCTCTCCCTATCTCTGTCTCTCTCCCTGTATCTCTCCCTCCCTCCTTCTTTTTATCTATCTATCTATCTATCTATCTATCTATCTATCTATCTATCTATGTATCTATCTATCTATCTATCTATCTCATTCTGATCATTATCTATCTATCTCATTCTGATCATTATCTATCTATCTAGCTAGCTAGCTAGCTGCTATCTATCTATATATAGCTCATTCTGTTCATATCTATCTATCTCATTCTGTTCATATCTATCTATCTCATTCTGTTCATATCTATCTATCTATCTATCTATCTATCCCCTCTTCCTACAGCTCTCCCTCTCCCTATCTCTCTCCTTCTATCTCTCGCTCTCTCCTTCTATCTATCTATCTATCTATCTATCTATCATATTTATTCCGACAAACGCAAAGAACTTATTCCCTGAAAGATTGTTTTAATTATTTTAAATTTGCATCGGGAAACGATTTCCCTCTTTTTGAAAAAAAAATCTATTTTTCCAGATGTAAAATTCCATGACACTTCTCAGATTTCCAAATATTAACACAAAATTGAACGTAGCGCCTTCTGTATCAGCCTAATAAATGTTGAAAAAAAATCTTGCTGCATTTTTCTATGGTTTCATTTAGTTTCTTTCTTTAACGGCACATCAATTCCTTATGGGTCATTTAATGCCGAAATTTTATTTTCTTCTGAGCTATGGCAATCTTTGAAAATTCTGAAAACCTCCTGATCAGTGGTCTTGCTGCCGGATGTAGTTTATCGTCATACCCAGGACTTATTTTTCTATGGAAGACGCTAGTTGATAATGGGAGTGCAGTCTGCTTTAATATGATGGCAAATTAAGCGAATCGGATAAAACTGGAAAAGACATCGTTACACAGTGAAAAACATGGAACACGGAATTGATATATTTGTTCAAGGAAGATATTTTAAATCAAAAAGCAAATCCATTTGAAACGATCACTGAAGTTAAGCAACATCAAGCCTGGTCAGTACCTAGATGGGTGACCGCTTAAGTATACTAGGTGCTGTAAGCTTGGATGTGCGGGTGGTGTAAAGGATAATGATTCAGAATTTTTAATCGGCGAGCCGAGTTCCAATTCCAGTTGAGTTCGTTATAATCATTCATACGCAAATTCCCTTAGGAGGGCATGAATCCACTTGACCTTCAGATATGGGTTAATTAGTAAAATTGTAACACTAAATAATTATTATCTCCCCAAAAATTTCTTACAATATAATTTTTTTTCTCCTTAAAGGATTTTTTAATTAAAAAAAGAAGATAAACCTTTGAGAAAACATTTTGAAAATATATTCATAGCTTTACTACAAACTATAAACACTCGCTTAAAAAATTACATCAAATCACCATTTTTCTACAGATCTATTATTCATGAATCTAACTTATGTCTAAAATAATGAGGATTTTACAAATTTCCTTTTTTTAAAAAATATGCATGTTAAATCTGAGCAAAATTAGATTATTACAATATCTGATTTCGTTTCACGAACCCCAACAGATTTGATGACCACAGGCTTTCCATCGGCACATATACACATACAGAAGAAAATAAAAATCCAACCAAATACAAAATTATTTTGCAACATATCGCTACATTTCACCGACAAAAGACGAAGATGACATCTGTCGACTTCCCTCACATACACACTTATACACTTACATGAATGAACGTTACAGTCCTACATACACTTACACACACAAGCGTTTCTTTACTTACACACTCTTACACTATCACACACTAACATCCTAAATGTTGCTCATGTATATTTATATATTATCTATTCCATTTATACCGGACATATCTATCTATCTATCTATCTATCTATCTCAGTCTGTTCATATCTCTCTTCTCTCTCTCTCTCTCTCTCTCTCTCTCTATATATATATATATATATATATATATATATATATATATATATATGACTCATTCGGTTAATATCTATCTATCTATCTTTCTATCTATCTATCTATCTCAGTCTGTTCATATCTATCTATCTATCTATCTATCTATCTATCTATCTCACTCTGTTCATATCTATCTATCTCAGTCTGTTCATATCTGTCTATCTATCTATCTCATTCTACTCAAAACTTGCTTACGGCAACATCGCGTTGAAACACAGGCTCTAATACGATCATCGAAGTTAAGTAACGTACAGCCTGGTCAGTACCTGGATGGGAGACCGTTTGGGAATGTGCGGGTTATTTAATAAGTAATGACACGGAATTGTTAATCGTAGAGCCGAGTTCCAATTCCAGTTGGGTTCGTTAGATTCACCAAACAATCAATTTACATAGATATGGATAATTTAATTGCAAAATGGGAAAAAAGTTGTTCTTCACAAGTTTCCTTCTTCGAAACGTCTTCTTCAGACTAATTATGATTTTATCGATGGAGTATTATGATGGAGTAATGGACAACGGCTCGGATTGAGAAATTGGAGAGCCGAGTTCGAATTCCAGTCAAGTTAATACCCTTGGGAAAGATATGAATCCTCTTCTCCCCCCTCACCCCCAGTTATGGATTAATAGCAGGACAGACCGAGTTATAAAGTCTTGGATGGCAACTGGTCTACCGCAGAAAGAAATGGCAACCTACTGCGGGAAAAAGATCTGCCTCGTCAGTCATGTATCAAAAGATACATCATTACCTAAGCGTGTATCAAGCATGGCACATAACTGACTGATATGGGTGGGGCAAAAATATGCGTGGTGTAAAGATTTCAGTGCCCAGGCTCTCCGGCTACAATTTTCTTTTTTTCATCGGTGTCCCCCAAAGCAAGGGAGTACAGCCACTAAGACGCAATGGGTTGTGGAGGAATTAGAAACAGAAACATTAATAATGAGTAGAAAGGAAGAAAAAAAGTAATCAGTAGGACAGTAGATAGCGATTGACATTGCATTTAAATTAATGTAGGCTAGAAAGCACGAAGCCGGAAGAGAGTTCCACATTCCAAGCTGTTAACATATAGCATAGAAGTAACCGTTATATCTAGCGAGCTTAACTATAAATTGATAAGATCTCAATGCTAGACTAGTACTGCGCTTAAATTGATACAGTTTAGGTACCATAGCGAAAAGCTGTTCCGAACAATTACCAACATATATATATATATATATATTTGGTCATATCACTGCTACGCTGTCACGGAGGTTGAGTTTTCATTTGAATGATGTGCAGTGTACAGTAAGTAGTTTAAAATATATAGGTTTTAAATAATAGTTTTAAATAGTTTTTTTTTTAAATATTCAGACATCAAAATAACTGAATTACCTCCCTTGACAGTCTGTTTATATTTCTGAGATGAGTTATTATGTACATTATTTACATTATTCGGACTATTGTCCTCGTCTTTGTTGCCATATTTATTACAAAGTTTCGGCCCTTCAGTATCTGTCTATATTTCTGAGATGAGTTATTATGTACATTATTTACATTATTCGGACTATTGTCCTCGTCTTTGTTGCCATATTTATTACAAAGTTTCGGCCCTTCAGTATCTGTCTATATTTCTGAGATGAGTTATTATGTACATTATTTACATTATTCGGACTATTGTCCTCATCTTTGTCGCCATATTTATCACAACGTTTCGGCCGTTGTACGCTCCGGCCTTCTTCAGGTGGTTGGAATTTTCTCAAGGACACATGGCACAGTGGATAAAGACGTTGGTTAGATCCAGTGACAGGACCCAAAGAGTGTGAGTTCAATAGCCGGTTAAGGCAGTGGAGAACTTTCAGAGGGAAAATTAGCAGGAGATAACTGATAACTGACATCCATCAAACATGGCACGTGGAACTAGAACAGTCTACCCCAGTGAGCGAAATAAAGGGTTCAGTTCGAAATTCCAATCACCTGAAGAAGGCCGGAGCGTACAACGGCCGAAACGTTATGATAAATATGGCGACAAAGATGAGGACAATAGTCGGAATAATGTAAATAGTGTTGACGTTTGCGTGTGTGTCTACATGATAAAATTGTACAGTACATAACCTTAGCGTTTTTCCCTACACACATAAAAATTTAATCTTCAATTGAACATAAGAATTTTGTCTTAGAAAACTGATGAAGACAACAATTTTTGTCGTAGAAAAAACGACAGTGTGCTAATGTCGAAAGTACTCGGAATAAAATCAATTTACATTGACATCGTAATTTTCTTTCTTCTTTTAATAAGCATACTATGAAGCTTAAGTAGACAAAATGTGTTGTCTAAATTATCTAATGAGACATGTCTTAATGAAAACATGCTGCCAAAATATACGCAATACACACACACATATATGGTCATATCACTGCTACGCTGTCCCGAAGGTTGAGTTTTCATTTGAATGATGCATCTATCATGTCTCAATATTTACAACTGTATACCTGTACACATTCGCAATGCAGAAAAAATCTTGTTGAAAATACATCTATACTTTTTCATGAAAATAATAGACATAAACTAAAAATTCTTGAATCTATCTATATAAAAATTGAAACCAAACCTTAATAAAATTAATCATGTATACGGCACAAATGTTTTAAAATGTGTACAGTAGGTAATTTAAAATATCTAGGTTTTAAATAATAGTTTTAAATAGTTTTTTTTTTTAATATTCAGACATCAAAATAACTTAGTTACCTCCATTGATGTTTGCATGTGTGTCCACCTTATAAAATTGTACAGTACATAACCTTAGCGTTTTTTCACTGCACACGTAAAAATTTAATTTTTCAATTGAACATAACAATTTTGTCTTAGAAAAATGATGAAGAAAACAATTTAAAAAATTAGAAAAAACAAGACCCTGATGACGACAGTGTGCCAATGTCGAAAGTCCTCGGAATAAAATGAATATGCATTAACATAGTAATTTTCTTTCTTCATTTAATAAGCATACTAAGACACTTGTTTGTAATTACGAGATTAATTATTAAAAATAAGTAGTCAAAACTTGCTGTCTAAATTATCTAATGAGACATGTCTTAATGAAAACATGCTGCCAAAATATACGCAATATATATATATATATATACGCAATATATATATATATATATATATATATATATATATATATATATGCATATGCAAGTATAGGATTGGTGTATACGGAATAAATTCCAATAACCAAAAAACACTATTCTTAAAAGATTGCTCAATATAGAGTAGAGCAAATATAATTTATTCGAAAATTATAACATAAATATGTTTTAAAATCAGAACAAAAACAGCCATTTTGTTTCAACACTTCTGGTGTCTTATCAAATGATGATGAACATTCAACGCCATCACTTGATCAGACACCAGAAGTCAGTTGTTGAAACAAAATGGCTATTTTTGTTCTGATTTTAAAACATATTTATGTTATAATTTTCGAATAAATGATTATATATATATATATATATATATATATATATATATATATATATATTAGGGTTATGACTTTTTTTACTTTTTGTAAAATAATTGATTTCCTGTATTATAATTCGATGAACTTTTGTTAAATA